AGAGAGGAAAAGAGTGGGGCAATGGTGGCAAGAGAGTACGTCACGACTAGCATGAGTTTGGGGGAGGGAGGAGAGAGGGGTACGAATACTAGCCACAGAGCCCAGTGTCAGGCCCAGAGAGAAAGAACTCCTTCCTTTTGCCAGTGGGGATCTTCTTTCCTTCTTTCAAACATTTTTCTTGTTCGGAGCTTCTATGATGCTTGCTTTGTTGCAAAGCATTCCCCCTCATACACATGGGTGACGAATGTTGGAAAAGAAGGAGCGGATCACACACGAGTCCTCGTGAGATGGGATATGCAGAGCTTGTGGCTTGCTGGGCAGCTGCGATGTCACAAGGGGTCTGGCTTTTATTTCTCTTTATCATGGTAGCATTTTTTTCTTCTTTTTCTTTTTTTTTTCTTAAAAATCCCATCCATTTTTTTTTTTTTTGTCTGCAAAGGCGAACGTAGGTGGTTGGTTGGTTTGCTTTAGCCGTTGGTTTGATTTCTTTCCCCGCAACTTCCATAGCAGTGCAAGGCTGTGTTCTGTTTGCTGTGTGTATGTGTGTATGTGTGTGTGTGTGTGTGTGTGTGTGTGTGTATGTGTGTGTATATATATATATATATACCTATATATATCTATACATATATATGCTCTTCCTTTGTAGTCTCTCAGCAGGGACGGAACATTGCAGCTGGGTTGTCTGTGTCTAATCTCAGAATTCAGTGTGAAGGCCCTCTCCTCAACTGCTCTCCAAGTTGGTTTGAATAGAGATGCCAACTTCTTTGCACAGGGGTCAAGATTCCTGGAAGTCCAGTGTGAGGGGAAAGAGAAGAGAGAGATCAGAGGGGAAAAGAAGAAAAAAAGAAAGAAAAGAAAAGGAAAAGGAAAAAAAAGGACAAAATGAGTTAATGATTTATGGCTATTTTCTTGCCACCTTCCCAGCTCAAGCCTTCTCCTTCCTGGCTGAGCAAAAAGGCCCAGGTGGCTCATAGGCTCCATCAGTCACTGTTTCCCTGGGATCACAGAGAAGCATCAAGCTGGTTCTTAGCCTTGTTTGTGTCATGGCTTCCTTTGGTAGTCTGGTAAAGCTGATGGACCATTTCCCAGAATCATGTTTCAGGGAAGGGGAAGAAAATAAGCATTTATATAGCATCAAGTGCCAGGAATTTGTATTAAGTATTTTTTACAAATATCATCTCATTTGATTCTCACAATCCCCCTAAGAGATAAGTGCTGTTATTACTCTCATTTTTACAATTGAGGAAACTGAGGCAAACAGAGGTTAATTTGACTTGCCCAAGGTCACACTGCTAGTAAGTGTCTGAGGTCAGATTTTAAACTCAGGTCTTCCTAATTCTAGGCCTGGTGCTCTATCCCTGTGCTGTCAGTTGTTTTTAGATGCATAGAATAAAATATATAAGATTATGAAAAAAGCCAATTATATTAAAATACAATTATCACAATAATTTTTTTTAAAAGTTCATGGATATCAAGTGAAGAATCTGTGTTGTAGGTGAAAGAGAATTGAGCTAGGAGTCAAGAACCCTAGCTTTGAATCCCAGCACTAGTGCTTATGTGATCTCATAAATGAGATTCTTCCCTTTGTAAATCCTCTGGTCAAGAGCCTAAGTCACTGGGTGCCCTTGGCCAAGTCAATTTACTTCAGAAGTAAATTGTAAGGAAATTCAGTATACTTCAGAAGTAAATTCAGATACTTTAGAAGGTGCCTCATTTGTTAAACTGGGATAATTATACTTTTGCTATCTACTTTATAGAATTATAGATCCTATGGGAAAGCAGAGACCCTAGAGAAAACACTTAGTCCAATCTCCTCACTCCACACATTGGGAAACTGGTTAAGTGCCTTGTGCAAGGACTCATGAGCAATAAGCATTGGAGCAGGATTTGAACCCAGGTTCTCTAACTCCAAAGGAAATGCTCTTGAGGAAGATGATTTGATAACCTTTAGGCATTATAGAAATGTGAATTATATTATCAATATAAACTACTGGTATCATTATTATCATCATCATTGTCGTTATCATCATCACCCCAAAAATGTCAACTATATCAACTATATAATCAACTATAATCAATCAGCTACAGGATTTGGAGCTGAAAGTGACCTCAGAGATTATCTGGTCCAATTCTTTCTTATCACAGTGGACAACTGAGACCTATATCACGTTGGACTTGCCCAAGGTCACACATACATAGGCAGAGGTGAGACCAAAATGGTAGCCTCCTGACTCACCACTGCCCCACTCCACTTCTGGTGTCTAGCTCCCCACTGGGATCAGAGATTGGCCTCATGTAGAACGTAGCAGGAGAACGTGGTATTCATGCTGTAGGTGGTCACTGTGCCCCTGCCCTGCTGCTGGTCAGGGGTGTGGGCATGGTAACAGACACCTCCAATGAGAGCAGTGAGTTGTATGGCAACCAATCCCGCTGTCTTAATGTGCCCAAAGGAAAAAGGGGTAGGAACATCGGAGGCACTTTTCAAAGGCTTCAAATACTGAGTTTGGAAGGAACAGGTCACCAGCAGGAACTGCAATCTCCTTGGTGCTCCCAGGGGTGTCTGGGCAGGCGCCTGTAAGGGAGGATGGGGGAGGGAGGAAGCCAAGACCAACTCTATCATTCAGAGATGGGAGGAGAAGAGAAAGCCTCCCTTTCTCCCAGCACTAACAGAACTAATTAGGACTATAGCATTTAGAGCCAAGAAGGCTCTTAGAGATCACAGGATCATAGATTTAAAGTTAGAAGGGGAAATTAGAAATCATCTAGTTCAGCCGTCTCATTTGACAGGTAAGGAACTAAGATCAAGAGGGATCAATTGGCTTGTCCAGGGTCATACGGCAGGTAAATGTCAGAGGCAGGATTTGAAGGCAGGTTTTCCTTTCTCCAAATCCAGTGCTCTATTCACTACACCAGAGAGGTCAAATCCATATTCCTGAACCATATTAAAATGTAACTGGGAAGTATTTAATGAAATAAATAAAAATTAATATATCATACTGTTAACTTGTGGTGTTTAAGTCAATTTGCAGCCCCCAGGGATCTGTTTCTATTTGTTTGATACCACTAGGTCATCTAGTTTAAACCCCAACCCCCCCAACTTTATAGAGGAGGAAACTGAGGCCTGAAAAAGTTAAGTGACTTGTCCAAAGTCACACAGGTATTAAATATCGAGCCCGGGCTTCTCTGATCACCACTGCCCCATTGTTCTTTCCATTGCCCTTTGATCCTTTTTTTTTTTTGCTTTTTGGTGAGGCAATCAGGGTTAAGTGACTTGCCTACAGTCACATAGCTAGTAAAGTGTCTGAGGCCAGATTTGAACTCAGGTCCTCCTGACTCCACTGGGGCCAGAGCTCTATCCACTGTGCCACCTAGCTGTCCTGCCTTTTGACCCTGCTCTAAAAATGACTTATGATTCTAGCCTCTCCCAACTTGTTCTGTCCCATCGTGAGGGGTTATGAACAAACAACATTCATCCCATGATCTCTTCAGCCTGGGACGTGATTCTTGCATGGGGGTGGGGGGGCATGGGGCCAGGGGCTGGGATAAGAAATAAAGGGAATGAAGTGTCTGCTCCTGAAGGGCATCGCCGCTAGAAAGTGGGCTCTAAAAGAGAAAGATGGCACAGTGTGGGGTGACAGCATGAAAGAATTAAAGAAGGTAGACGACAGAGCCCAAGGAGGAGGAGAAGAAAGACAGGTTTGGACGCCAAAGAAGGAGCAGAGGCAGCTGCAAGTAAAAGCTACCATCACAGATCTACAGGTGGGAGCAGCAGGGGTGGGAGGATGCCAGAATGAGGAGCCTTGCTGGAAAGAACTTGTACACGTGTTTGTTGCGGGGGGGGGGGCAGGGAGGACGGGAGCTGTGAACGGAACAGACAAAGGAGAGCAGCGGCAGGGGGTGTTAGATGGAGGAGACACAGCAGAAAAGATACTTCAGACATGGAAGAGGAATGATGGCAGGCCAGGACTCAGAGCTGGAAAAGACCTCAGACGTCATCAAGTCCAGTTCTCTCATTTTACAGATGAGGAAACTGAGGCACAAGACTTGCCTAGATGAGTTAGTAGCAGAGCTGGGCCAAGAATCTAGGATGCCTCACAGTCTAGTCTTTCTTCTTCCTTCTGTTTTCCTTTCTTCCTCTTTCCCTTTCCTTTCCCTTTTGTATCTGAAAATGCATGTTTAATTCCATACTTGTAAAGACTCTTTTCTACATTCCTCAACATGCTGCTCCCCAGTCCAGGAAGCCTATCCAAGGGAAGAAAAACTTGAGCGAGGTTGTAAAGCCTGGAAGGATTAATAGCAGGCAACTGTCCCAGGGCTGAGGTCATCCATGCATCCCAGGATACAGGATACCTGTGATCTCCCCCTGTGCATGGGGCAGCTAGGTGGTGCAGTGGATGGAATGCTGGGCCACAAGTCAGGAAGACTCATCTTCCCAAGTTCAAATATGGCCTCACACACTTATTCGGTATATGACCTTGAATCACTTAACCCTGTTTACCTCAGTTTCCTCATCTGTAAAATGAACTGGAGAAGGAAATGGCAAACCATTCCAGGATATCTGCCAAGAAAAGCCCAAAATAGGGTCACAGAGAGTTGGACACAACTGAACAACAACAATAAACATGTGCATGAGTAATCGGGGGTCAGAGGAAGAGCCCCGTGGAGGGCCTTTCCATGGCATTCATTACCTGTGGCTTCTTGTCCCTTTCTTCGGGAGATGGGTCTGTTTCTCTGTATACAACGGCTTTGGTTACCAGCATGTCTGGGTGTTGCAGTTTGGCCTCCTTGATGGCCAAAGCCAACGCCTGGGACACAAGGATAGGACACTGTATGATATGAACAACCTCTAATTTAAACCCAGAGACCCAGACCCCAGGATGCACAGGGGGAGGGGGAGGAGAGGAGAAGGGTATATCCCTAAATGAACCCAATCCACTGAAGCCAGGATTGAGATTTAGGGTTTGGGGCACATGTCTTTGAGGTAGAAGCCAGGTCACCAACCAAACCCAAAGACTTCAGCATCCACAGGGACTTTTCTATGCTAATTAGATTTGGAACTGCATGAGGACAGGGACCACTATATCCCCTCCCCTCAACCAGGCCAAAGCCCAGCACAGGGTACCCCACAGGTACCAATTAAATGACAGTTCTGTATGTTATTGAATGCATGTCTTATTTCCCCAAGGGATAAAAGAGCTTTGGGAGAAGAAAGGATTAGAGATGTGCTGGAGCCAGCTTAAACTGGTTTTGGAAAACTGATTGTTAAATTTTCAATGTGAGTGTTTACACTTCAGAAATTGACAAGTGCTACATAGGGGATTGCTTTATTATTTGTTGATTGTCTAGACTTAAAAAAAGCCATGGAGAAAATGTTAATAATGCAGATTAAACTTTAAAAGTGTGTTGTATACATTTCTCTCTCTCTCTCTCTCTCTCTCTCTCACACACACACACACACACACACACACACACACACACAGCCGGTTGTTAAACATTTACCAGCACACCTCTAGAAAAGACCAAGCACTGGTAACACTTCTTAGTTTTGCCTATGAGACCTAAGCCTATTTCTGATTACTTAATGAGCTCCATATACAAAGACTGGATGCTTGGTGAGTTTTCCTCTTCATGATCTGGGATTTGCTTTGAAGGAAGTTTAGGGTGCCTTGTGAGTTCTTTTAGTGGGGAAAATGTCTTGGTATTTTTGCTCAAATTCCAAGTAAGTTACTTCCTGATACTAGAAAAGGATCTTAGGATCATTACATTTAGAACTAGAAAGGACAAGGGACCCTTATTTTTACAGAGAAGGAAATTAGCCCAGAAAGGGAAAAGAATTTATTTTAGGTCACATATAAGATCAGTAGAAAAGCTAAGATCTGAATCCAGCTCACTGGCCTCTCAGTCCAGGGATCTTTCCACTAAGCCATTTTAGATTCCTAGTCACTGCTTCTCAGGGACTCAAGGCCAGGTCACCAGATAAAGGGTGGGCATGAGGGGTGAGCAGGGTAGAAGATGAGTGATGAATACCACTAACACTGTCAGTCACAGTGGTAACAGGTCCATCGCTTGTGAAAGGCAGATCTCAGCTTTGTACTGAATTTTCACCCTTCTGCCTTCCTGCTCCCAAATTAGAGCTTAGAACAGTAGGAAATGGACTCGTTCCCTACCCCACACCCATCCTTTTCTCTAGCCTGGCCAGATGTCCTCTGATCAAGGCACAGGGTTCTAGGTAGAACAGATGGCATACCTGGTCTTGATCTACATCTTCATCTCCCGTGATGATGATGCGTTTCTCTATCCTGGTCTCAGAAAATCCTCCTTTCACAGTCTGAAGGGAGACATAGAAAAAGTTAGAAACTGTCTTATCCAATCCACACCTTCATTCACAGGTCAGAAGGTTAAGTCCTACATGGGGGAAGGTACTTAACCAGAGCAAGTGGAAGAGATGAGATTAGAACCCAGGGATATTTCTAAACTTTAGTTTACTGGCACCACCACAGGAAGTCTGTCCATGATCACCGCAAATCTATCCAGGGCCGTAAACACCCTCCCCTTTCATGCCCCCGTGCCGGGCAGAGGTATATTTGCCTAGTTCAGTAGTTGGGGAACCTGCAGCCTTGAGGCCACATACAGGTTCCCCCCTCCTGTAGTTACTCAAAACTTGAGAAACATGTCTGGTTTTTCTTTTTCCTCAATTTGTTTCCTCCTGCAGTTTGTTCTTCATTAAATCTGATCAGACACACTGAATCCTAAAAATTCTTTCTTTGAAATGCTTTTCAGGTCTGTCCCTTCTCTATGCCTGGCACAATGGCTTTCTCCACTGGGCCTGCCATGTCTAGTGTTGTGCAACATCCCAGACAAACTGATCCCCCTCTTTGTTCAATCATTTCAGTCCTGTCTGAATATCTGTGACCCCATTTGGGGTTTTCTTGGCAGAAATGCTGGAGTACCTAATTCCTTCTTAGCATTTCCTTCTCCAGCTCATTTTACAGATGAGGAAACTGAGGCAAACAAAATTAAGTGACTTGCCCAAGATCACACAGCTGTTAAGTATCTGAGGCTGCATTTGAACTCGCCTTTTTGATGCCAGGCCTAGTGCTTTAACCACTATGTCACCTAGTTGCCCCATCCCCCAAAAGCAGTGCTTCTATTATCAAAATAAGATAGGGCCCCGTCTCACTTGGCTCTGGCCTTCTTAGCCAACTTTCTTTCCAAAAGCACCCCAGCATAACCCCTCTGTTCCAATCTGGCTAGGGCCTTCAATGCTCTGCAATATGTACATTTGTTGCTGCTTCTATAGCCTGACTCAACTCATGCTGGTTCTTCTCTCCCCCTACCCAGAATGCTTTCCCAGTCCTATGCCTACCACCTATGTAAATTCTACTCAGATTTCAAGACCAGCTACAGTCTAACTTCCTGCTTAAAATCTCCCACCGATCTCCCTGTCTACTAAACTCCCAGCAAAAGGAACACGAGTAAACATTTCCATAGCGATTAGGGTCTGCAGCTTTCCTCCCAGCCCTACGACACAGATCAAGCATACAAGGTTCATTACCAGAGGATCTGCTGCCAGAAAGGATCTCCCCACCTTTTTATTTGGGGGCTCAGGGCGGTTGTGACCTGCCCATGGTCAAAAAGTTAGTGTAGACAGCAGAATTTGAACCCAGACGCCCTGACTTCTAGAGTCACCTCTCCCACTATCCCAAACTGCCTCTCATCACATCTTTCCAGCCCTCAGAGTCAGTATTCAACTGTGCCTTTAAGCACACAAAATTTTGCAGTTTGTTCTCATTTCAGGTGACTTTTAACCTCTTTCGCTAAATTGTGAATACCTTAGACAGAAGGACTATGTATGTCTTGCATTTCTTTTTTAATTTAATTTTATTACATTTTAAGTTGTGAACTCTCTCCCTCCCTCCCCACCCCACACTAGAGAAGGCTATCACTTGACACAGATACACATGCATACACACACACACACACACACACACACACACATATATAAAATGTAACAAAATTAAATTTAAAAAAAAAGAAGAAGAAAATATAGGACCTACATGGTCCTTCTCTGTAAGGTATGGAAAACACACTATGCATAATTCTATTTATCAGTTCTTTGGAGGTGGACAGCACCTTCTTTCCTAGGTCCTCTGTAGTAGATTTGAGTATTTATAATACTCAGAATAACTTAGTCGTTCACAGTTATTCTTCGAACAATATTGCTACATGTCTTATGTTTTTTTAGTCTTCCCTAACACAGTTAGCATAGAACCGAGCTCATAGTAGGAGCTCAAAAAAATATTTCTTTTTGATCAGTAATAACCCTGAGAGAGAAACGTTAGGACTAGCATTATTTTCTCTATTGTAGAGGTGAAGAAACTGAATCTAGTCCAGAGCTTCCCACATGGCCCTCTAGTTTAGCCCCTGTCTCCCACACGGCCCTTTAGTCCCTTCCAGCCCAATCTAGTCTATCGCCTCCCACGTGGCCCTCCAGTTCCATTTAGCTCAATTTAGTCCAACATCTCCCATTTCTAATTTTGTTTTGTTCTTTTAATTTTTTTTTTTTTTTTTGGCTAGGCAATGGGGTTAAGTGACTTGCCCAGGGTCACACAGCTAGTAAGTGTCATGTGTCTGGGGTCAGATTTGAACTCAGGTCCTCCTGAATCCAGGACTGGTGCTCTATCCACTGCACCATCTAGCTGCCCCCTCCCATTTCTAATTTTGCCCCTAAAGGAGAAGGGACTTGCCCAAGGTCATAAGGAGAGCTTGGGGCAGATCTTGGCCACAACTGAGATCTTTAGTGGCTTTCCCCATGAGTGCTAGGATAATAGATCTAGAGCTGGAAGGTTCCTTGGAGAACATCCAGGTCAAGGTCCTCATTTTACAGATGAGGAAACCAGGGAGGTTAAGCAACTTGCCCAAGGTTACACAGGCAATGGGTAGCAGAGCCAGAGTTCAAACCCGGGTCTCCGATTTGAAATCAAGCATTCTTTCTACTGCACCACACTGTCTCAAGGGCCATAGAGCTGGGTTCATAGAAAGCCTCTGTATGCCACAGATACCCTCCCCCATCTCTTAAATGGTACTTACTTTGGTAACATGGGTGGTAGTGGAAGTGGACAGGGTTTCTGCAGTGGCCCCATAGGCACTGGCGAGTACATCTTTCCCGATGATCTGCAAGGGACACAAGCCCACCCCATTCCCAGGCATTAAATGGAGGAGGCATGGCATCCCACAAGGATGCTAGGGAAGAGTGTGGAGGTCAGGATTGGGGGACACCCTCTGGGACAAGAGATCTTTGCCATTCGAGGTTAGTGCTATGGCATACGCTTTGAGAATCATTGGTTTAAGTTAAAAAGCAAAAGAGAGAGCCCTGAGGCTTCTCCTACCCTCAGCCTAACCAGGAAGAAGGACAAAGAGAGAAGAATGAGGTGAATGGTGCCCTCTCCTCATTAAGGTTGGTCACCAGTCCTCTCTCCAGGCATAGGCTTGCTGAAAATTCCAGCCTCCTAGAATCTTAGAACAGGAAAGGTATCTTCAAGATCACCAACTACAATGCTTTATTTCAGGGGTCAGAAAACAGATGCAGAGAAGTTGTTTGACCTATTCAGGAGGTGATACTAGAACCAAGGTCTCCTGGCTCCTAGTTTAGAACTTTTCTGAAACACGCCATGTAGAGAGAGGTTCATGATGCTGCCTTGGACATGCCATGGAGGCATGGAGGCATGGAGCCATGAAGGCAGTAGCAGCCCTGACCTGGAGGGTTGTGCTTAGACCTGGGGCCTGATTTCAGGAAGGGTCACGTCCAAAGGAGGACGACTGGAATAAATCAAAAGACCTGAAACTATGTCATAAGATGAACAGTTAACAGCACTAGGAATATCAGGCCTAGAAAAGAGAAAATCAGGGGTGGGAAGGCGAATAGAGAAGGTGAGAACCACTACCTTCAAGTTTTTGAAAGTCCAACTAGAGGAGAAATTACATTTGTTCCACCTAGCCCTAAAGGCAATGGATGGAAATTATACAGAGGTATACGTTTTGCCTTAATAATAAGGAAAAAATTCCTAATGGATGCATAGGGAACCTGAATGGTCTCAACTCCAGGAACGGCTCTAATAACTAGAACTGGCAGTCTACTCCACTCCCCCAGCCTCTGGGCTTTTGGCAACCATGGAAATGGATGGAGGATGGATCCCTTACCGGAGAAAGAGAACGGATTTCTGTTGCCACCGTCTGCGGTCCGGGAATCATGACTGCTGCTCCCTTCCCAGACTTCAGACTGTTCTCCTTGAGAAATAACAACAGGTAGACCTCAAGGGCTTGCCAGGCTCGAGGGGAGAGTGGGCAGGCACCCAGGGCCCTCCCCCATGGGCACCAGTGCACTTGAGCGTGAGAACACAGAGTTCCCACAGCCACAGAGTTTCTTATGAATTACTAATTAACAAATAATTAATGAGTAGCAGTGGTATTATTGAATCTCCAGGTAAGTGATACAGTCACTCATTCATCATTCAACAAGCATTTATTAATTGCCAGTGACATGCCAGGCACTGTGCTAAATGCTGGGGATAAAAGGAGATTACATTCTACTAGAGGAACATTTAAGACCGACAAATCAAAGCAAAATATATACAAACTAAATGGAAAGTAATTTGGAATAGAGACCTGAGTTCTAGGGTCTTGACTCTGTTTCTAACTTGTGAAGCAAGCCTCTTTGGCAAGTTATTTCTCCCCTCTGAACCCCCCCACCTTCCCAGTCTATTAAATGAGAGGGCTGGACTCAGTGGGTTCTGTGATTCTTTCTAGTTCTATAATCCTTTGTGTCTAAGCTAGAGGGGAAAGCGGTATCTCTGAAAGCCCCTCTTTCCAGGTAGGATTTCTCCTATGACATCCAGCAGTCCAGCTTTAACTTGAACAGTACCAGCGACGGCAAGCTCACTACCTTTCAAAGTAGCCCATTCCATTGTTGAATAGTTCTGATTTTTCAGATGGTTTCCTTATATTGAACTATAGTCCCTTTCCCTTTAACTTTAATACAATGGACCTTCTGGGGGCAAGCGGAACAAAAGCCAAGTGGCTGGGGAGAAGTGTGGGGAAGAAAATCATTTGAATCTTTTTATGTTATAAAGAAATTAGGAATTCCAAACCAGGAATTAGGTTGAATTAAATTGTCTTTTGTCTTTTTTTTTCTCTCTGCAATTTGTGTTTAGGAGAAAGTAGCAAATAACAAGAAAACAAGGACTTACTTTAAAAATTAAAAAGAAATACAAAAATTTTCCAAGGGATAAAAACCAGATTTGATATGTTTGCCCCAATAACCTATAGTTTCTCCATCCCTGTCTTCATTCTTGGATCGCCGATGTTCAAGATCGCTTATACATAAAGGGAACCTTTAACTTTTTAAAGCAATTCTTCATCTCGATTCCTAAATTCCTTGTGAGGCAGCCAGAGCAGGGGTTACTACCCAAGGGGACTGATAAGTGAACATGAGGCTCGGAGGGAAGTGCCCTAACCCAAGTTCATACAACAAGCTACAGGCTGAGCTCATATCTCTGCATCTGTAATACAGAGTTCTTTCTACTCTTCTTTGGCAGTTGTTGGGAAGGAGGTACCCATGATTCTGGGTAATAAGAATAGTTTCATAGCTATAGAGCTAGCTGCTAGGTGGTACTGTAGATAGAGCATCAGGCCAAGGGTCAGAAAGACCTGAGTTCAAACCTGGCCTCCTGTTTGCCTCAGTTTCCTCATCTATAAAATGGGCTGGAGAAGGAAATGGCAAACCACTTTAGCATCTTTACCCAGAGAACCCCAAACGGGGTCACAGAAGAGTTAGACATGACTGAACAGCAGCTATTGAGCTAGAAGAGATGTCAGAGGCCATATAGTACAAACTCTTTATTTTACAGCTGAGGAAGCTGAGACTCAGGGGGTTGTGACTTGTCCAAGGTTTTTTGTTATATTGTTCTTATTAAGCACGGTGGAACTGTGGTCTTTTTCTATCACACTGTGCTTTCTGAGGCCCACATCAAAGACCCACTCCTGGAGCCTGGATTTTACTGACCAAGTTGGGATCCTAGGATTTAGGAAGGGGCCCGAGAGCACAGAAGACAATGCCAGATCTGGCAGCAAACAGAAAGGTGACCTAGTCTAACCCACTTACTTTAAAGGAGAGGAAAATCAGGTGGGAAGGAGGGAAAGGATAGGAGTCAGCCCAAGGTCACATAGGTGACTCGTAGAATGTAAATGCAGACACTGTCAGGAGGTAGCCTGCTGGGCGGCCTCCCTGCCACAAATCTCACCCCCGTCCAGTCCATCCTCCACCCAGCTGTCAGTCATCTTCCTCAAGCTCCGTTCCAACCATGCCACTCTTTACTCAATCAACTCCAGCAGTTCCCTATCCACCTCTGGGATTAAATATAAAATCCTCTGTTTGGCATTTAAAGTCCTTTGTAACCTGGCCCTTCTCTGACCTTTCCAGTCTTTTTATACCTTACACCCTCCCACCCCAGCCCTGCTATGTATTCTGCAACCTGGTGACCCTGGCCTCCTCGTTGTTCCTCGAACAAAGCTCCCAGCTCCAGGTATGTTCACTGATTGCTCCCTGGATGCCTGGAATTCTCTCCCTCCTCATCTCTGCTTCCTGGCTTCTTTCAAGTCCTAGCTAAAATCCCACTTTTTACATGATACCTTTTCTAATACCCCTTTATTCTAATGCCTTCCCTCTGTTGATTATTTCAAGCTATGCTGTAATGTAGTTTGTTTGTACATAGCTGTTTGCATGGTGTCTCCCTCACTAATCTGGGGGTTTCTTTGGATCCCAGTGCTTAGCACGAAGCCCGACATATAGCAGGCACTTAACAAATGTTTACCGACTGCCTGACTGGCTACAAAAATGATAAGGACTCAAACAGATGTTTCTGATTAAACTTTAGTTGCACAGAAAAAACTGGTCTGTCAGAAGTGCCCAATCTCCAGGCATATTGGCTGGTCAGAATATGGCCTCTCCTTCTACCCATAAGACAGAGGCTCTTGGGATACCTGAGGCCCAGAGCCACGCATCTGCCAAAGCTCAACTCATTTCAGAGACTCAAGGTTTGACCACACGCGCTGTTTTTAGTACTGTGAGGGGGAAATCAAGGAGAGGGAACTGAGAGGCACATGTCCAGCACTGCCTCCCCACCTTTGCCCCAACTGGAGATAGCCAGATGGGGCTACATCAGCTTACCATGGTAGTGCAGGTGGTTTCCATGGTGACAGAGTGGGAAGTTGTTATCATCTCTTTCCCCCCAGTTGTTCCCCCATCCACCTGCTGACAAGAAGGAAGTTTAGGGGATACTATGAGCTGACTGGAAATACAGACATGAACACAGACCTCGTGATGAAATCACAGGAGGTCAAAAGCTGGCAAGGGGATCCCCCACTCCCTCCCTCGGTTTTACTGGCATTACTTGAGATACCTCTTGAGAGACTTCCCAAGAGCAGGGGCCAGGATGGGGAGGAGGGGGAAGGGCGTGTCACCTGGGCTGTTTCCATCGTACTGACTCTAGCCTGCAATACGGCCTCAGGCTCAATCTTCTTTCTGATCGCCATGCTGCTGACAGTCATTGTCTCGGTCTTCACAGGCTGGGGGGGTAAAAAGGATGGGGAGCAACTTTCAGCAACCAACCTAGAA